GTTATTAACTATAGGGAACTCTTCGTCTCGTCAAAAGGAAGTGGGAACTCTAATCAGAACTCCTGAGTACTATAGTTGGGGTGCTAACTTAACATACCCCGATTTAACGGTACACGGAAAGAACGATTTTGTTGATTAAAAATTTAACTAGATACAAAACTGAAAATAATTTAGTTAGAGACTATCAAAATAATTATGTAGAAAACTTAAAAGCTTTAATGAACAATGCTACAAAAAAGTTTGATATTCTACGCTAGAATTTAGCAAATGTACGTATCAAAATTTGTTACATCATTGCTCATCATGTTTGAGGTTTCTACGTAATGACTTCGATGGGCCAACAAAATTATTTTCAAATTTATACATATATTTAGTTAAATTTTTAGATTTTTTCAATGTCTAAGTAATCACCTTCGACCACCTTAGATACTTCAGCAAAACAGTTCTTTCTATGTATATGAGTATATTTTACATATAATATTCTTAGAAATTAAACATTCCAACGAAGCTTAAGTTATAGTTACGTCATTGATAAATAACTCAAGAGTATTATTTCTCCCTCGAGAACCACAAATATTTCAGTCGTGAACGTAAGAATTTTAACGTTGCATGATACTTTCTTACGGCTGTACTTCTGACGCTTCAAACGGCAACTTGAGTGACTTATTTAGTTACGAACCTATGCGCGGCCACTTAAAATTTATTAACTCGTAAATGCCTGGCCCCTATACCGTTACTGTGTTACGAACGTGTACGTTCGATAAAGTGCACTTCATAAATTCATATGTATGGTATCCTGCGGTCAATAAGCTTCATAATCGACTCGCCTCATAAAATCTAGCGGAATTTCCGCGACCGAACTGCAGCGTTAAGGCGTATCGTGATTCATCAGAGATTTCCTCACCGGGAAGATAACTGATAATTAGAGCGGACCGTACCAATTGCTACTTGTAAAACACATTTACGTTTTTATAACATATACTTTCATTTCTTAGCGATTCGCTAATCCGCTATAGTTTCTACATAAGTATAAGCTTACAGTCTTTCGAAATAATCTTTTTCTTGATCATTTCTTCACGAAACTTCGCAGAGTTTTATGCCTTTGGCGCGCGCGGACGATTTTTCGGCTGTGGCGGGATCTTAAATCGGACCCGGGGGAAGGACAGGTAGTCCACAAAGATCGGGTCTGGCCAGCCGGCCGGTCAGGTAAGAGCAGACAGGTAAAGGAAAGAGGATTGGAGAGGGCTTCCCCTAAGAGCATCGACGATGGAATGCGAAAGCGTGGGTTCGGTTTGGCCGTAACGCGATCTCGATATACAGAGAGGAGTGCAGGGTGGTCGGGGACCAGGACAGCTTCGGGCTATGTACGCACGTGTAACGGTACTCCGCGCGATCGCTCGATCCCGATCGCCTCTCTCGTAATACGCTCTCGGTCGTCTCGCATTTGTACGTTTGTATATGTGCGTTTTCGCCGTTGCACACAGCAGGAGAGCGCGTGTCTCGGCAGAGCTGGAAAGTGAACGAGCGTTGTCGTCGTTGGCGTCTGCCTCGTACCACTCGTCATCCTCGCGAAACATCAAGAAAAAGAGAAGAGTGGACTTTCTCCTTGATCCCAAAACTGTACCGCCACGTGCTGAATTGATCGGATCGTTTTTTGAGTAACCTTGAAAATCATTATCTTTCGTACGTAGTAATAGATACTCTACAACAGAGTCTGATCATGAACCATTTTGTCAAAACCCTATCAGAGAAAAGTATATATACAATTAAGAAAAGAACGATTTTGCTGAAATGTCTAAAAATGTTGCTACATATCTGATAATAACTTTGGTAGTCTATAAAAATATTTAGAAAACCTAAGCAAGAGCAACAAATTTTAATATTCCACCAATCAGCGGAAAAATTATTTTGATCGTGCAATACAATAAGAAAAAAAATTGCTCGTGGCTAGACTCTGTCATAGAGTGTTTAGTGACAGTAATGCGTTTGACAGTAAGAAGGATTTTATTCCTTGTGTTTCTCCTTCGTTGGTTCTCGGAATTGTTGAACTTTTAGTTAACATCAATTGGTCTGTTCTTTTCAGTTGAACTTTTTCACTTCTTCACCGTTTATCTTTCTCTCAAACGTAGAAAGGAAAAGAGGAAAGATGAACGATGCAAGAAGTTCAACTGAAAAGGACAGATCCAATGATAGTAACTTGAGAAATGCTGCGTTTCAATGTAAAAGTCTCAGGATCGTACACTGATGTTTGTTTCTATCAATGTAGATTAATTTTTTGTTTCACTTGAACTTTCCCTTTTTTTATTCTAAGAATTAGAAAAAAATGAGTAAGTTGTACCGAGATTAAAGTTAATCTACATTGGTGGAAACGAGCATGAATGGCGCGTCTTCTTCATACCGGGGGAAACTGAATGAAGCAACCCCGGGGCAGGTTGCTAGACTCAAGACCGAGTATGATGATGACTGACTTAACTCGAGTGGATAGAGAGCGTCTCGGGGTCCAAAGTATAAATAGCTGTTACCACTTACCATCAATTCAGAGCAAGCGCAAGACTGTAGTTCCTCTGTATACAACGCATCACGCAGGGCATAACGAAGTGACTGTTTATAATGCATAATATAGCAAAAAAACATACTTTAAGAGTCAAACGATGTTTTGCCCGAGAGTAACGTATTAGATTAGCCTATTAATTGTGTTATATGATCATATAAAGCCGTCATATGAACTCAACGTCACACATACGAGCAAGCATTCTTCTGCTTCGAATCAATTCTTATGTTTAAAAATGTTCAAATGATGTTAACAAGTGTTCATCCAAAGGGCATCAGCAATAAAAAAAACAATGCGACAACTAAATTTCAGTTATAAATTTGGCAGACTCACGAAATGCGAAACGCGATACAATCAATATCGAGAAAGGGCCACGATCTCTAATTACAAAAAATTCTGTTAATCGTTCCTAATTTATGTCCCGTGGCATAAAGAGATTTTGAGCCGAAAAAGAGCGGTCTCAGCACGCAAACGCGTGAATAAGGCAGATGATAATCATCGTCTGCCCTTTCTTTATTGCCTCGTCAAAACTGCCAGTAACTCGTGAAGGAATTGAATATCGTTTTAAGCATCGCATATGCAGAAGCTGCATCAAAGCATACACGGTACGAAGCTATGCAGCTAGCACATAAACCCAATGTTACGGAAGAACGACAGCGTTAACGACATTAATAGTACGTTATTTTGGAACGTATTGTTTTCTGCTGTTGATCAATCGATCAGCAATGAAAAAGATAAATATATCTCTTGTTGCATTTATCGCATCAATCACGCCATTTTTTTAACCGTCCGAAGCTGACGTCAAATCTGAACACAATTAACTGACGCTGAATATACAAGACCTATTTATGTTAATCTAAATTAAAAAGCGCTATTTAATTTCAAGAAAATGATTGGTTTAAAAAAGAAAAGTTTTAAATATATTTCAATAAAAATAATACAAATTTTTCCAGATGTAAAAGAAAATTGAATTGTTTGACATCTTTAACAAAGAAATTTATAATTGAATGGATTCAGTAGACCTTCTGTTAACTCCGGAGAATTAATTTATATTGTTAAATATTTCGATTTTATATTGATACTACGTATGTACGTTTATCTCACTGATCGTTGTCTTTTTAACTTGAATGTTTGGATATATATCTAATGCACTGATATGTATATCAATCGATGAGTCAGAAACGTCACTGCGTTAAAGAGATACGCTCGATTTGTCAGCGTTAATGGCGACGTAAGGCTAGCAACTTGGCATGCTCAGACGAGCTTTATAAAACCCGAAGACGTCGTCTCGACGCCTCGTTAGCGGGTGGAGTTATTAAGTGCTCCCTCGTTAACGATACGGAACGGTCGTTAACGCGGTAGGGAGCTGGTATGCCGAAACATTAACTATTACCGCAATGCTTCGATACGTAAAACCAATGAATAGGCGAGGCAATAATCGCGTCGCGTGCAAATAAACGTGAAATTATCGTGAACGTGCTTTCATGAAACTTTCTGAAAAACTTATTCAAATGATCGGTGTTTATCGGCACTTTGATTAAGTCTGTTTTTTATTCCTGCACTAGACTGCACTAGTGTCCCTAGAAGATTGATGATTCGAACTTGAATTGAATTCAATGTGTATTAAAGCCGTCGTATTATACAAATTGACGTAATAATGTGCGTTTAATATAAAAATGGATTAAACCCTGAAATTGTCAATACATTTCATTGTTGTTGTTAAGTGTTGTTAAGTTAAAATGTATTTTATAATTCGGAATGTTTTGCATTTCACTTCTACACAGATTAAATCAATGAACAACGATTTTAACATGCATCAGTGCGTTCAACTGAATTCGCCGAAACTGACCATGCCCATAAAATAGCGTATGTACATGTAAAATAATGTGCCTGTTTGAAATGTGTGTTTGGTGTAAATGTATGTGTGTCACCGCTACACTTTGATTGGTACCGCCATTGTTTCATGCCAATCAAAAAGGATGTAAGCGATAGCTAGGCTTTATCTTTTAAGGATTCTAGATTGCAACAGAATTTTCTTACTTTCGCAAAATATCAAACATACTTATTTCTCTTTAATTCCAAAAGAATATATTAGTTTAGTTAAAAAAGAACCTTATTATTATTAATATCCCGTGTGCTTTAATTGTTTGTAATCGCTGTCTTCTACGGTGATTCATGTAATAATACCTATTAAACTATCGCGCAATGGTTGCAAGAAACGTCGATTTCTCTCTGCTTATATATTAACCTGTTTTCCACGAGTGTCCCGATATCGAAGATCTTTAGTGCTTGTCCCGGTATTGCGTCTGACGCGCGACGTTCGTTACATAAAACCCGTTTAGGAGCGTGTAGCGGACCGCTTTATTCTCGCTCGGTCAATGCTATGCGAGAAATTATAAGGTGAACACGAAGATGATATCGCACAGCGCCGTATGGTTGCTTTACCAACCTTGACCGTTGGAGTGATTCTGCTGCGGTGATTGAGGCTGGCCCTGCGTCAGTATAATTTGACTCTCGAGCTGCTGGAGCTCCGCTTGGAGCTCGTTCAGCTTGCTGTTCGCCTTCTTCACAATAGTCGCGACATCCGAGAGCGACTTGCGATCGGTCGCGACCTCCCTCAGCTTCTCCGCACCAGCCTTTATTTTCAGCTCCTGCAAATAAAAAAACGTTAAAATTCATAATTGTGCATTAGAAGTCATCATCATTGCCATTTTGGTCGAAAATAACATCTTATACCGAAAAATGTAAAACTACATACATTTATTATACTCTCGATCAAAGTCGCTCGTTTAAAGAACATCTACCTCGATCGTGCCGCTCCTTTGTATGGCAAATGAGACGTAAAATCACGCACATGCTCAATGATTATACCTTTCGATATAATCCTTCAATATTCTATTAGCGAATATTAATGCACTACGAATTTTTGTAATGAGTTATCATGGATTTTTACACGGAAAGCGCAGTTTTGCTAAAGTATATAAAAGTTTAGTGAGATATATATCTAAAAATAATTTTATTGAGCCATCTAAATTTATTAAACGCTCAAACAGGTTATCAGAACGTCAAAACTTTTTGCAACATTAACATCACATTTAAGCGTTTTCACATAATTATTTTTGATGGTCCAATACAATTATTTTCAAATTTGTATCTAATTAAATTTTTAGATACTTCAGTAAATTTTTTTTCCAGGGAATTTTCCAATGATTCATGTTGGTATATAAAGAATTATTCGTCTAATATTACGCTAACGTTAAGTCAGACAAAAATAATCGTTCAAAAGATATTTGTTCAATAAGGAATAATGACTCATTTGAAATAAATGGTCTTGACTTCCGAGACGTTATGCGTGCATCTGTTCTGCAGTGCAGTTGATTCATAGAAAATGGTCTGGTAACAACGTATGAAAATGTGCTGTGTTAAGAAACATATCGCATTATACAGTATTACATACGGCTCTGTTTCGCAGTGGATCTATTAGTGGTAAGCAGCAGCCAGACAACGTTAGACGTGTTGTAAAGATGCTTAGTAAGTATTGAGAGATAAAACAAGACAAAAGACAAAAAGAAGAGAGAAAGGCGCTGCTATATAGCAAAACTTGTTTCCAAGCGAGTTGCAGAAATGGTTGGACCACCCTCATGTTTCCATTCGCAGCGTGATTTTTAGAACGCGACGTCCGGCGCATCCGGAAACGATAGATCATCAATCGTTTATTACCGAGACGTACGTCGGATATTGATTAAGCCAGATGTAGGTACATACAAAAAAAAACGTAATCACGCACGATCTGCAAATACTCCTATCTGCAATATCCTCTTGTAATCTCTTTAAGTATCGGGGATGCAATTGCAAATCTCCACCTAGATTATGGAATCGATTTAAGGCTGTATCAGTATCAGACGTGTGTATAGTCTTTGCAAAAAGTGACTGAAATTGAAAATTTATACTTTCCAATAATACATATAAAAATAAATACAAAACAACTCGTAATTTTATTTAAATGGTTTCTTTAATTTTATCTTAATTATTTTTTAAAACCCAAGGTTTATTTTCTATTAAAATAATTTTTTATCCAGCCTCTAAATTGCTGCCAAACTCTTTGTATTATTTTTTCAAATACATACAATATAGAAAAACCCGTAATTTTTCATAACTTTCATTTTAATAAAAAAATGCACGTATTAATTCGTAATAGAAATACATTTTTTGTAATTAAAGAAATATATAGGTGTATCGGATAGTTTTTCGTTATCTATTATTAGTTTTAAAAGTTTTACAATTTTCAAATACCTATATAAAAAATTGCAATACTTGAAGTTAGCATAAAAAAAATACAGTACAATTAGCTTACATGAACAAAACAAAACTGTAAAATTTCAAAACACATAAAATCATTCCAAATCATTACACTACTTAAAAATTAAAAGTTGGAAAAATGTCCCACACAGGATTCCTAGGATCTACATGTTCCAGTTACGTGTTAAATTAGCCCTATACAAAAATCCTTCCATTACGGCAGAATTCATATCTATCATAGAATATTTATTACTAGATACAAAAAAAAAAGCAAGCGGAGAACATTAAGATAGCAAGAAGAGATTAATTTCTATACATAGAGATAAAAAAAGATGCATTAGGCTAATTATTGCTGGGTATAGGGAAAGAAATAGCCAGAGATAACGAAGGAGATGTAGAGTGCTGACCATGCTACCGTGTAAACGGACGAAGAAAAAGACCACTTCACTGCAGTCAACGAAGGATAAGCGAAAACCCGACATACCTTGCGTATTTCTCGGCGTATGTGTTCTCGCAGCACGTCAAGACGCGCCGGCAAGGGCACCTGGTCACTGCCAGCCACTCCATACTTGCTCGACAGTTCGTAAAGAACTGGGTGCCTGATGTTGTAATCGCCCTGAAACAGATACAAAGTTCAATCCTGATTATTGACGGCCAATGTAGCAATCGAGTTCGGGCAAAAGAACGCGCAATAAGAACGAGCAGTTCGGACGATTAATCACTCTCTAATTAAACTTTCTAATTAAAACGAGAGTTTTTTCTTCTTTTTTGTGTTCTGCGGGAATTTTCACTTTTATGTACGAAGCGCTATATCAGTATTTAATCATTTTTCCCATCCTTGTGCCAAGATTCGTATCAATTAATAATCAACATCCGTACTGTACTCGTTTCCGCGCACTGAACGTATATAATCTTTTGGCATTACGCGCGAGCCCGTGTTAATCTTTATAATAATAATAATAATCACAATATGATCTCTCGCATTAACGTGCGCCAGAGTTAAGATAACACCAGGCGGAAATTACACCGTAAATATCAACGATCAGAGAGGGTATCGCCGATGAGCCGAAGGGAAACATCGCGGAATACATCACTTTAACCGGAAATCGTCTGGAGCGTATTGGTGTACATCGCCGTGGCCTACTCGTGAGATACGGATATAGACGGCTAGGCAAACACAACACGCTCAGGAGAAAGTATCGGTCTCCCGCGGTCTCGCATCGAATGCCAATCATCGAAACAGCATTATCCATTGTGATGAATTAACGTTGGTTATTTGTCAATTCGCGTGACGATACAATTGCTTCGTCCATGGAAACGTCCAAGGCTATTCGATCAAACTTCTAACGGATGTATTAGTGACCTACTTCGAATGCGCAGTGTGCAACTGCGAGTCGTGTCTTTGAATCGCGAGTAAATTAGAGGCCGCGAGCCTTAAAAGCAAATATCAGACTGTAGACCGATATTCATAGGCTGTGTTTCAAAATATACTGCCAATACTGAAAATCTATAACGTAAACTATACATTTTCAATATAGACAGTAAATTTTGGAACACAGTAGTCAGATTTTTATTTTAAGACAAATCTTGTAATGTTCTAAGATGCTAAAACAGCTCTCTGATTAATTCATTAACATTTTAAAACTTTACTTAAGACAGTCTTAAACATGAAAATCGATTAAGAATATCGATCTTTAGAATTAGAATTGGATTGGGATTTAACTAATCAGAAGAAAGAGAATCAATAACAAGTTTAGTAAAGTTTGCTTTGATCAAATTCCAATCCAAATTTAATTTAATCCTGATCCATAGTTTAATACGAGCTTAACTCGATTTCGCGCTAATGTCCTTTCTTATCAAGATAAATGTCTAACAGAAAAAGCAATTATGCAATTGTTGATTGTAAGATTTTTTTAATAAATATGATTGGTTTATTTAGATTCAGTGAGACGCTATAAAGGCAAAACCAATCATAGAATTTTACAGCAGTTGCAAAGTTGCTTTTTCTGTTGAACATAGCTATTAACTTCAATCTCAATTTAACTTATTTTTTATCTTCTAGTTCTAAGAATTAGAAAAAAAAATTAATCTGAGGATAAAGTTAATTTATATTGATAGAGATAGGTCTAATGTTTGTTTTCACCAATGTAGATAAACTTCAATCTCGATTCTATCTTTTCTATTTTTTCTAATTCTTTAGGAGTAGAAAAAATGAGGACGAACCGAGATTGAAACTAATCTACATTGGAAATAAGAGATTCATCCCGACACAAAACCGACACTGTCGGCGGAAACATACCGCACACGGCTTCACGCAACTGCGAAGGTATCTAGAGCTGGCCACTTTGGTCAATGGGATGCATTTGCACACAACTGATTTCCTCTTCTTGTCCAACCCGATAAACGACATCCTTATTCCGTGAAACGGCAAATGTACACCGAAAAGACCAGAATACTTTCGTTTTCTAGTCGCGTGTACGTTTTGTCGTGCGAGACTAACGTTCGGCAGACAAACGTTTTAATATCTCGTCATTAAAATTCGCACTGAGGAACAAACAAACGAGCTTCCATCGTGATTAATCACTGCTGAATCACTGTCACCGGAGCGACAATCTCCCGGCCTGCAATCATGCGGGCCCAGATAAACGTCAGCCACCTGTTGCAGCGAAAATCTACGATATCACGTCCGCACGCTGTATTTCCTTGATTTCGCACACTGTCGCTGTTACACGACGACCTAACTGTAAAGCTCACTCGCACCCGGAGCACGCGACACTCTCCTCGAATTTGAGAAATAGAACTGACCAAGAAGACAGCGTCGACGCCGTTATCTCTTATCTCAGCCGCGCCGATAACAGCGTTACTCAACTGTAAAATGTGAACTTATCGTTTCCTTACGATGCTAATATGAAGAAGGTATCTTAAAAAAAAAAACAACCAGTCGTCACAAATCAAACACATAATTCGATGCCACCTGATCGATTCATTCGGCATATACATTTTCTATTATAACACTAAATAAATTATTCATTTATTTAGGGTCATAATAAATAATTATAGGCTTGTTCTTTTTCGATAAAAGTTCTACACAGGTGTACAAATATAAAGAACAGAACAACTCATAATTCAAAATAAAATAATCATACGGGTGTAAAATTAATGTAATCGTGTGTCAATTTCTGTTACATATTGTTGTGCATATATTTTCTTTGTTGTAATCGAATTACGTCAATTTTGATAAATTGTATTTACTTCGATAAAAATATCTGTGAGTTGTACAACGTGTGACTGTAACCACATCATTGTACAACAAATACCTAGCATCACAAGATTCAAGCCTGTCGAAATGGTAACTGTCGAAAGTGTCGGTCGAAGTTACCGCATTGAAATTAGGACGTCTCATTCACAATTTGCGATCGTGATGCAAGTTACGCAAATTTTCCTCGTGTTAGACATTGCCAGACAGACAGACGTAGGAAATGACGAAAATTCCGCGGTTCTGCTTTTGGGAGTAATGAAAGTATATCTGGATGTTAATTTGATTTTCGCTACGAGTGCGAAAACGTGCGCATAGCCGACACTATAACTGACGCACGATCTATTTTCATGCATTCCGCTAATATTTGCCACGATAGTCTTCGGGAGATCAACAGACATCGCGACGTCAGGGGATGGATCCTTTTCGTCCGAACGAGCATTTTGTACAAAAAAATCGGGGAAAATTGTGAAAGTGGCACGAGAATTATTTTCACCGATACCAGGCCTCAAAACAAACCAACATGCAACGCCAAAAGAAGATCTCAACGTCAGCGTTAAATTACTGATTCATTACTCATTCATTATTCATTCATTGACGCAACACGATCGCAACAAAATCGTAGTCTTAATTCGGAACGTAAAGGGCTACGAAATTCGCGTATATAATTAGTCTGTTACACCAGGTGGTTTCTAAAGATTTGTCAAATACAGTCAAACAAAATCGAAGCAAACCATCGATGCCACCTCATATTTTAGATCCTCTTTTCTCCTCTAATAAAAAAAAAACATTTTTTATCCCCTTTTTACAGAATTTCAGCTCTACATTTTTATATCTTATTTATTTAGCTTTTCAAAACTTTATTTCTCTCGTAATAACAATTTCGCTTCGATTTGACTGAAATTTTGTTTTGGCTGTATCTGACAAATCTTTGAAAACCCTCCTAGTGTAACAGATTAATTTTATATACGACGAATTTTGTGACACTATACAAACTCAGTTTGTATACAAAGCCCAACAGAGGAAAAACGACAAATCTTCCGCATAATTTTGATATTGTCCATTTTATCGGATTAAAATTGAACTTCAGAAAACGAAGCAATTAATATTATCTATTCTGTATATATTGTATCCTGTAACAATCATTTGACGTTCCGTCCGATATTCTATTCCCTGCAAAATTCGAGAAAGTGAGTCAGTAAGCGATTTAATACTAGAATCGACTTTTCAAGATCGAATCTTCAAGTGTAACTCACGATTATACGTGAAAGTTTTCGAGACGAGAATCGACATGCTGACTCCATGATCTCTCAGTGATGGATTTGAAGTTTATAAAAACCTTCACCGTAAAACGTATAATAACTCGATTGGATTCACAAGGAGATCATCTATCACAACAGTCCGGAACCGATTTAATTCTCTCTGAAATATGTTGTTAAACACAAAAATCTCAAAAAAAAAAATACTTATTCTTTTATATCGATTCAATTAGGGATTTACAGGGTGAAATAATATTTCAAAGCTAATTTCTATTAAATTTTGAGGGGTTGTTTTACCTCTTAAATCTCAAATTGGAGATCAATATAAAAAAATAAATCTTAGATTAGGTTACTGTTTAATAATATATTTGAAGGAAAATCGAATCAGATAGTTGTAACAGGTACCTTATCAGTGCACACTGGTGTACATTAAAGCCGTACATAAATTGACATAAAATGTTTAATATTAAATATAGAAACCAATTAAACCATGAAATCCCCAATATACTTATATTATGTTATTAAATAATATAAAATATGTATCTTAATGATTCAAAATATTTGCATTTACTTTAATCCCCAGATTAAATTAAACGATATTAATATGCATTAATACGCACTAGTGCACATCCAACTAAAAATTTCTCATAGTCTGTATTCTGTAATTCTTAACGATAGTATCATTATATTGTCATTACGTAGTTTTTTCATCACATATAAAACCTTAACAACAATGTAACGATATTACTGAGTTTTAGACACAATTGAAAACAGGGAATAACAGGTTTCAATCTATCAGAAATGTGTACATCAGAATATACGATTTCTGACAGGTTGAAATCTATTACTCTCCGTTCTCCTATGGTCTGTGCTTTTTAATTGTATCTCAGGCTTTATCGTTGTTAAGAATTAAAGAATAGGGACCTAAAAGATCTATTTGCGAGCGGCGACATTCCTCGGACGTCCCATTCCTACGTCGCTCGTATCTCCTTGCAGGAGGAGCAGCAGGTGTTACGAGGAGGAACCGGCACGAAGTCAGTCAGGACCGGTTACACCGACGCCGATTAGCGCCAACCGGCCACCTTCTTGTCGTCTTCGTCAGGTAAAATGGTAACAATTGAGGAGCGAGATTGATACCGTCACAGGCTGAAAGCCTGCTGTGTATGCGTACAAAAAAATCTAATCTTTCCTTATCATAAAATTTGAATATTGTTGAACTTCGATACGGCGCAATTTATCTTCGAGAATTGGATCACTGGAAAAAGAATCCGGTTACATTAATTGAAATTCTAGTAAAAAAATGGACAGATTAGAATTTCATAGTTAAATCTATTATAATTTAGTCGAGATAATTGATGTTCACTCTTGAGATAACCAAAATTCTAATTGATAGATATAATCAAAATCTACTGGTTCGTTCATTTTCAAACCAAAATTTATCTCAGTGATCTTTTGCAATTTAATTTTGTAAAATTTATTTCCGTGCGTGTCAAAATATAAATCAATCTTTTACTGTGGCTAGTTTGGAAATAACGTCCACATTAACGTACGCATTTAGTAAACAAAAAATTGAATTTAAGTCAATACATTTTCTTAAGCTAAATTGTTTTATTTTATTGGGTATAATTTGACATGACAAATTTAAGAGTATGTCGACAAGATGACAAATATTTAATGACCCGTCATTTTTGTCAACTTTAATAAGTTAAAATGAGATAGCAATTATAAAAAGAGATGGTATATATGCCTTTCTTTCTCACTCTTGTTTCGACAAGTAGCTGGACTCTGTTATAAAGTCTAGTGCTGATCACATCGACGCAACGTCAGTTAATTAACCCTCGTGTTAACTGGATTTTTTCTCCACTCCACGCTGCACAGGTGGCAATGTAATTTCGAAGGAAACGGCGAGTACAGTCAATTAAGATTGCTTTCCTTTTAGGAGATGTAGTCGACACTTTTGGTACAAATCGATCCTCGTTGCTTTTCACTTAATTTTATTTAAATTCAAATCATATCTTTTTCGACTCCGCTTGGGAGTAGAGTCCAAGTGTATTCAAATGTGAGTTTGAATAATATTAGAACGTAATATAAACATGGTGAGAATTACTCAGTGTTAAATCCAAAGATATTTTTTAGAGGATATATTTATAACATAATATACAATGGAAAGCTGAAAGCACACCGTTTAACACGCTGTAAGCTGATTGAAATTTTGTAAGATTAGATATTAAAAATTTGCACACACTACGCATATGGCGTTCAATTTAACTGTAGCAAACTGTATTCGACTGATGTACGTCGATTTGTACCTCCTAGGGGGCTGGGTTTAAACTTCGGGTCTTAACTCCGTAGTCCTAAAATTTAGCCAATAAGGCTACCAATCCTATTCGAAATCTGTATTCCCATTGGCTGAACTTTAGAATTTTAAAATCCAAGTATAAACCAGACATAATAGGAAAGCAGCCTTTTAAAGCCCTGTGTCGACGACGGTAAAAAACGGTCCGAGATCTCAGATAAAAAAAGAATTGCTCAATTCGCATTGTTCGTGTGAGCAAATTGTTCAAAGAAATTGTGTTAATTCTTTCTCTGTCCGGAGATCTCCGGCCGAGTTCTAGCATCGTGGACACAGGGCTTAAGACCCTAGACCCAAACGGTCGACGATGAAGAAGCGGGGATTGGCCGAAAAGCAAGCACAACAAGCAAGGAACAGCAAGGAAATTGGACGCATATCAGGTGTGCGCGGCCCGTCACGCCTGGTTTGCCGCCGACCGAGAACTCGCGACGCGCGTTCGTCGCGATCCACACGAAAAATAACGACGGTCCCCGTCATCGATGGGAAAGCCCCGCTTGTGCCTCGGGGTACAAGTGCATGTGCGTCGCGGACGGACGAGAGTGAGCGAATGAGAAAACGGCGAGTAGAGGTGCGAACGACGAACCAGGAGGACGAGAGTCCTGACTCTGAGTCGCGTCCCAGGGGAGGTGCACGATTATGGCGTCCGGGTAAAACGCATGTCGGGCACGCGCACCAGTTCGCAAAGAGAGCGTGGAGATGGGAGAGCGCGGAGTGCCTCGCACAGCGAGACTCACCTGATAATAGCTCGATTCCGCCATCTTGCTCCCGCACTCAATAACGCTCTTTCCACTCACTCACTCACTACTGCCGCCGCTTTCCATCCGTCCTTTGTGCGCGTCGTTGTGCCGATGGGACGAGAGGTCCATGGCGCGTTTGATCGCGCGGCCCGGAATTATATCGCGCTGCGTGCGTCGCGTCGCGTCGGCGCCGTGCCCGTCGCCGTACGGCGCCGCATCTCACGTCGCCACTCCGCCAGAAGTACACTCGTTACCCGAATGTAAAAAGCCCGTCGAGCACGTATCCCACACGGACGAAACAATCGACGCGAAATCGCTGCCGATCAGTGATGAAACTGCCGCGCGCACACAACGAGTCATGCACTACTACACGGGAGGATGAATGAAAGACGCGCGGCGCTCGCCAACGAAATGCGGACGCGACCACATTCCACCGCACCGGACTAGCGACTGACTGAAAATGCCGGGCCAATCGCCGCGCGAGGCGCGTGTGGCGCGTGCGCCGACCCTTCGCTGTCGCGACCGACGCGGCCCAAGCGACCAATCGGCGCTCTAGAATCGTGAACACTGGCGGGATGCTAAATCCCCTGACTGTATTTCCAAAATTTTAACAAAAAAATTCTACATTACTAGCGTGGAACTGACATTCCAACTTATATCTCAATTTTTATTTTCTTTCATTTACAATCAAAGATTGATACTTCATACATCTTTCAGATAGAGATAAACGCAAAAAGTATTATTTAATTGTAAAACAATTTGCGCTAAATATAATATGTATAAACAGTAATTTATAAGGCGAGGGTTTCTTCATTCTAGACATCCTATGCAAATAATGAAGAATTATAATCTAATAACAATCATTACATGCTTAAAAAATGTTTAAGGATATCAAGATACTTCGTATTTATAAAAAATCGAGCATACATGTTTTCGTATACTTCATTATCATTTAAATATATACACTACATATACATATATAAATATACAGTGCCTTTAAAAATCAATAGATGTAATTATTGAGAAATTAGTGTCTGAAGAAGATCTTCAGGCGTTCTGGAAAAGAGACTGTTGGGGTTTTGGTATAAGTTCTTCGGATCATGGCAGGCGTCAAACAACTGCCTATATATAGCTCCGATTACTTCGAACGATCGTTTCTGAGTAATCATGCGATGATTATTGCTTTGCAGTAAACTTATTTGCGGTAGCAGTAAGACGTCTGGCATCACTAGAAATGCCTCCAATTTATTCTGTAAACAATCAGTATATCAACGTCTGATGGTATTCGTATGTTATTTTATTTTGTGGATAAATCACTTACAGTGAACTCTTTCACGCTGAGAGCATCCATGCCGGGTATGGACGAAAGTGGTCCCTGATCGCGTCCTTGCAGGATAGTGTAAATTGAGCCAAGGTTTAAATGCGCTACCAAAGAACTAGCTTGCTCCGACGTAAGTGTGTCGATTTGCGCATCGGATTGTGCCTGAATTATTACAGTCGATTACAGTATTGTCACAATTTATAAGTGGACATTAAATGAAGCAATGTGGAAACAATTTTATTCTATTATGTCCGACTCTAGTGTGTATAAACTAACCAATCACCTGTAACCTTTCTAATCTCTGATCCATATATTCGTATAATGCCAATGTTGATTGTATTTGATGCATACAATTGAGAAGATAAACGGCCATATCCACGGTTGGCAATCTGGATGCTGTTTCATTAACTTCTTGAAGTAATGGATCAATGATGCATGACACAATCTGTGAATCATCAAAACGATATAAAATAAATTTTTTCCAATAAAAAGGTGAAAAATATTTTTGTTGAATATACCTGTAACATATCTTTTTCTCTGTCTTCAGCTATACTAGCGACAGATAATATTTCATTTAGAAGCGACAATAGTCTAGAGACTGAGGGAGCAGGGACTAAATCATTGCCGGGAGGCTCCGCGCGCTCTCCAAGAGCGATTCTCGTTTCTCTCTGCAGCCTACTTAGAAAACTTTTTTCACTCAAAGTTAATAAATCCAACAATGTTTGATCCAAGACACTGTCGGGTATGACTTGCTCAGTAATAGCGCGGTAGAATCTGATTAGAGTTGTTATCGAATATAATACTGTCGCTGGCGCCTCTGTAGATATAACATGCTCTATTCTTGATTTTAAAGGATGACATAATCCTTCTGTGATATTACTTAACGTCTGTTTTACCTGATCTGACACATCTGCAATAAACAGATTTATATATTTATAAAACAGATTTATTATACTGTAGATTTATAATAGCATATTTAAACAAAGACTCAAGGTGGAAAAAGGAGAGCTTCTTACCTGTTTTATCACAGCCTTTCACTAAAATAAGAATATTCTCTTTTTCTACAGGAACTACTTGATGCAGCCATGCAAGCATATCACCGACATATCGCTTAGGATCATTGGCATGCATTTCTATAGGATTAGGTGTTCCAAAATTTTCTCCTAATGTTAGCGCATCTATGAATGATCCCACCAAGGCAGTTCTCCTAGCTGTACAGTATTCATCTAGGATGTACCTATTAACATTCAATATATGTTAATTATGATAAAAATAGCAAATTCAAAGAAGCAATAGTTACATTCAAATGTTAATTATCTTACTTGAATAACACTGGTCTATCTTGTAGCTTACTCATGGCTTTAATTAGTAATGGCGCTAAACGTTCATTTTCTATATTTTTACACTGAGTTTGCGTCCATCGATATAATCTTTCAAGTGCGGATTCTTGTAACAATGTCATTCTTTGCATGATATCCAGAGCCAATGTTTGATAACCAGACTGCATCAGTACTCTACATTTACCATGAATATCCTAAATTCCAAATTACAACATACAGAGGAAGTAATAAATTGTTATTAAAAATAGATAGCTTTAAAAGCTAATAAAATAGCAGAGCTCTAATTATTTGTGTGTTATTGTGTATTATATACATGTAATATAAAATAGTAAATAAACCAGGTTACATAATCTAATAAAACAATGTTTCACCCACATCATCTACATTATCACACTTGTAATACACAATAACATGAAAATTAGCTTGATTCATTAGGCCCTATTTTATTATCTTTGAATTTTAATTCTTACAATTTAGTTTGAGTTTTAATTTTAATTGTTTAGAAAGCTTTCAATATACCTACTAACCTGTACTTTATTAACTACAGAAAAAAATTCCTCCGTTATAGGCGACTCTCTAGTTGATCCATGCAAAGCGGTCAATTCTGATGGAGTTAATTGGAAATTTCTGATAAATGCACTTGCAACTTCTTGCTGCATAGTTAAGATTTGACTGAGAGTAAAGATAAATAATAAGTTTCTTAGAAATGCGATTATGTATCACCATACAAACATACAAATATCTTTACCTTTCACCCTGTAACTTTGAGGTCTGCTCAATCAATTGTGACGTTTGAGCCTTTGTAGCTTGTAAGCGATTAGTCATAGATTGCACTGATGTGTTCATTGCTAGAACATTTTGATAAACGTCATCCAAAGAGGCCTTTACTTCCCTGAATGTAGACAGAAATTCTTCGTTTATCGCCAGACTCCTCCTCTCTATTTTACTACGCAGATTTCGACGAGAATTTAATGTGTTCTCAGTGAAGAATGTTGACAACTCTTTCAAGGCTTCCAATGTATCCTAAAATATAAGACTAATTATTGAAGTACCTGTACTCAACTCACCAGAATAAGATTTCCACATAATCGACTCGTTTTCACAATTTATACCTTGTCATGCTCCACCCTGGATTCCAACAGTTTGTTGACCCTCCGCACTAAAGCGGAGTTAATGTTTTTCTCGCTCATTGTAGGCTTGAATCTTCAAATTTATCAGCAGAACATAACCTGTATAGAAATGTCAAAGCCATGACAAACGGTACACGTCATCTGCAGATGACTGAAGATTGGAGCAGTCATTTTCGATGAATTTCGGAACGCCAATGTCACAGGAAACTTATTAAATATCAAAAAAGATAAAAAATGATGTTTTGTGCCTATTTGTATCCACCTTTATCTTCTTTAATCTCGGTTTAACTTATTGCTTATATTTTTTTAATTCTTAGGACCATATCGTACACAGAAAAATGCTTGGAAAAACATAAGAAGCTCAATGTGTTGGATTGTTATTACTTATGATCTCTACTGATTGGTCAATTCGCTTATAGTTTATATTTTACTTGTTAGTTATTTTTTATCTTTTTGCCACGGTTCTTAAAATTAGAAAAAGATAAAAAGTAAATTGAACCGAGATTACAATTAATCTTACATTAATGGAACCGGGATCTAAATAGAAAGCATCCATGCACGAGAGTACTTTGATGGCCAGAATCCAAGTACTTTGAGATCCCATCTACGCTTTTCGGGATCCCCGAAAGATTGTTTGAATATATTCCAATGAAAAGCAATAGAATATTCGATCATGCGGATTCCCTTGAAGGATCTCGCATGTCCTGAAGACAGGAGACAAATGAGAAAAGACTGCGAGTGAGCCCCTCCGAATCGGAGGCTCCGATACTTCGGTGACGGTTACGTGGACATTGGAGAATAGACAGTCGACAACTTGCCTGACGGTTTTTCGAACGCAACCAATGGCATTTCACTGCATGCACTCGAACGAGGCATGCGTACGAGCAAGAATGTCGAAATGAGAATGATAATTCATATTCTTATCAATGATAGACGATGAAAATTTATTTCTCGATCGATCAAGTTGAGAAATACAGATAATTTTACAGATAATTTGAAAGTCAATAGTATTGTGCTGTGGCAATAATTGTGAAATTAGAAAGCACGTGATAAAGTTCAGTATTCGACAAAATCACTATACGCAACTACGCACCTCATAGTGTGCGTAGTGCACACTAGAGACTAGACTCTAGAGAGCGAAAGACAGAAAGAGAGAGAGAGAGAGAGAATGAGAATAGGGTATCATGCAGTAATTCAATGCGTTCAGTTGCGTTTGGTCGTTGCGTGGATATGTAGAGCTGTTTTCTTCGATGAACTGACAAGAACAGAATAAATATGCACTGGTTAATACGTCTGTGTATCCTTGTGGTTTTGTTGGTGCACATAGACGGGAGTAGCGATAGTGTGCCGTTAACCAAACTCGGCGCGAAAACCGGACCGACTCTAAGATTCTTCTATTGGTAAGATTAACGATCGTTTTGTTGATTTTCACAGAGGTGTCCATCCTATAAGATAATGGACGGGTAGCAATTGTAAGCCGTTAAATTGCACGCGCGCTTTAAGTGAGAGACACTTGTTAAGCTTCTCACATTAATTTAAACACATTATTCAATATAACAGTTTTGATTTTATCGTCGAGCTTTGAGCTTATCATTAAATCAAGATAAAATTATCGTTCTCTGTTGCAGCTACTCGTGCGGCTATAAAAAAGCCTTCGAACAATACGTAAATATTCTTAAACAGAAGTATCCAGAACTTCATGTTGAAGGCGAGAATTTCGATCCACCTGGTTATAATATGTTAATTGCGAAAATATTGGTAATTAAACTTATAAGCCTTCTACAATAAGCTATAAGTCATAAATAAGAAGTAAGAAACTAAAAATTGACGACTGTGATTGGTCCATTTCTAGCTTCAGACTTGTAATTTATGATCTATGGCTTATTGTAGAAAGCTCATTATTGTCTGATCTTTTTATGATCTATTCTTCTATATATGTCTCATAACTATATAAATTTGTATTTAGGGCATGCTAAAAATCCTTATAATTGTTCTAATCATAAGCAAAACCGATTTCGGTCTGCCCATAACATCAATATGGCACTGGTGTATAAATAATCGTATATATGCCTGTATGTTGGTTTTCTTGATTGGCAATGCCTTAGAAGGCCATTTGATTTCATCAGGTGCATTTGAAATACATTTCAATGGTAAATATATTTATCTTGTTATTAATATAAGTATTAAGTGAGATACTTGATTATTACATATACCATGATATGTTTCAGATGTTCCTGTTTGGTCAAAACTCGAAACTGGCAGGATACCACAACCATTAGAATTATTTCAAATAATTGATTTTCACCTAGACATGCAATTCTCAGAAATGGATGTAGGAAAAATCAAGTTCCAAACGTAAGATATAATATTATTTCATATTCTCAAATTGATAAATCTAAACTGTGTACCATGCAAGAAAGAATGCTAATGGTGTAATGTGATGAAAATATGTACAATATGTATTTGTTAAGTAAGTAAGGTCTTTAATGTACATCTCATCATAGAACATAATTCCATAAGATTAAACATATAAGTGTAATGGAAATAAAGTTGTTACCAAAATTTCTTATTATTACAGGATTTTTATTCAAAATCATAGAATTATATTAAATATCCATAGTAAAATATATAGTATATAATTTTACTATCATATCCAATCAATATCCATTTCCTATGCTTAAAAATTCAGAATCTCACACAAACATGTTTTAATCCAAATATCATTTAACTATCCTACTGGCTTCGTTAATGCCTGTTGGATGGTCACTGATGAGAGGACGTGCTTCGTATGTACAAATAGTTACACCATGTTTGTGAGTTGGAGTCCATTCTCCCTTAAGACCAATGTAATAAATTTTAATTTGTTCTGTGTTTCCAATACCAGTAAAGTAAAGGCTTAAATGCTGCACTGATGAAAACTTGACTGTTCTGTAATCATATTTGTATGGTATCTAGTTTTTACAAAAATGTTTAATATCTTACAAATAATTTGTATAATTATAGTTGTATAAAAATTCTTAAAATATGAATATAAAAAAGAGATAGTTGTATTATTACCTTATAGGGTATTCATGCACTCCATATGCATCAGTAATTAATTCAAATTCCTGGTCTGGACAAGTATTTAAATGATCAAATAGCATATGCGGCCGATTTTTATATCTATTAATAATACATAAATTTATTGAAACATTTTATGTCTTGATATCAATATTTTTTCTTATTTTTTGAGTCGTCTTAATTATACTTACAACTTCACCTTTTTGGGAGAATAATCTTCATCTGCAACCACAATAAGGCCCTTTAATTTTACATCTCCTGTGAAACTGCAAAAAAATCAGATACAGAGAGACTGAGATATATTTCTATGAAAATTGCATCAGGACATAATACTTACGGTATATTAAACAGAAGCTCATCCTCGATATCACTTTGAACATACTGAAATAAGATAGAGAAAGGATTTCATGAAAGAATCTTACAATTAAAAATGTTGTATTAAAAAATTCTATATTTAATATTTATAAAACAAAAATTTCTCACAGAGCTTACCTCTGATCTATCTAATCTTTCTTCCCATGTTTTGAACACTTTGATACCACTGTCTTCCTCATGCTCATTTAGACATTCCACTCTGTCTTTATCTATTTTTTCAAATAAATTATAATTGACTCCTATTTCTGTGTCATGTACACTACCACAATTACATCGATGTTCCATTATCTTACCCTGTTAACAATAAAAAATATAAGGACATGAATATATGTATGAGAAAAAAAAATTATTTAAAAAAAATCCATTAAGATCGAAACAAATTATATATATTTATGTAACACAATTAATCATAAATACTATCATAAAATATATAGCATATACTATATATTGATAAAAAAAATTATGAATATAAATTACATGAGAACATATCTTTTACTTATTATTTTTTCAAAATATTTACAATGTACATATAAATAATTTACTCTTATTTTCCGATATTACGTTTAAAATATTATATTACTATCTAAGAAAAAAATGATTATCTACTTATATTTTAAACGTTTGTCACATTCTTTAGATTCTTTATGAACGTCAAATGTTATCAAACTGAGGTTAAGTTCACACGACAACATAATCTTAATAATTGTTATAATAATTGCAATAAAACAATATTTTACTTACGTACAGGTAGTAAAGCTTCCTTTGTCAGTTGAAAGTCGAATGAAAATAAGGAGAAATATGAAACTAAACCGTCCAAAGATAATATTTACATTAAAACTCCCTCTCCTTCAACAGCTGCCTACTTAACCGATCGGTAAATAATGTTTTTGTCACAGAAATGTAAATGTAGAAATCATGTATATACATATATTCGATTTCAAACTATTCACGTGATGCCCCTCCTATATTTTTCTCATTCAATTAATGTTTATTTGCACAATTTAAAAAATCTGATTTATAAAATTTTTGATTATTCATAAAATTGTTTTTTAGAAGAGTGTACATATATAAAATGGAGAGAGAGCGAAAGAAACAAAAATATATAAAATTATACTAAATTCATAGAAGTTAACTATGTTTTTTTAAATTCAATGTCTGTAAATATTAAACTAACAAAATCTGCCGTTGAACCGAAGCGAGAACTGTCTCTTAAAAAAGATTATATAAAGTTTGTTTAAACAGTGGAGATATTGAGAAGGATATAATAGGTAAAAGTAAAGCTCTGATATTTAAAAACAAGTGATATTCATTTATAAACTCTATAGCATATGTACATTTGTTTACTTTGCATATAGTGAATGAAATATAGATAAAGTGCAACATAAATAAAACAATCTTTGTATGAACTGTGTGTGGAATGCTTGCATTGTCATCTTTTATGTATGTTTATCGACAGCCTCATCGATTATTTTATTTAGTTTCTGATTTTGCCAATCAAGAGCGATGTTATCGAGATGGTTGTCAAAATCGACCAGATTCCTATACTCCTCTGCCTTTAATAGCGAGTACATTGCATCTGTGTGTGCAATATCATCCTCATAAATTATACTGCAACAAAAAGAATGATATTTAGTATCCAGATGAAAGAACTCTATCAAGTCAAATTTTCAAGAGTCATGATAATTTTTGTAAATAATCCTAAAAATGTATAATTACTTTGCTCTGTCTTTTAGTTTCCATTTTCCCTCGACAAATTGTGACATTCTCAATGGACTCGAACTCATACCTAAAGTCACTTCTCGATTATCCACCTGACAACAAAATAAAAATCAATAAAGTTTATAAAAAAAGATGTTTTGATACAATAATCAGGAAACATACCACTATCATCAATGCATTATTGAAGTTCTCTGCGATTTTATCTGCTATTCTATGAGCTGGTCTGTCTGTACTACTTGAAGAACACAGCAACGAATTAATAAAATTACTTAATACAAAGAAAAAGAAGGAATGTCATTAAAGAAATATCACATAAATGTCATTACCTTAAATCATTTATATTTTCATTGGCCAGATAATAACCTGCTATTATAAGGCCTTTCCTTGTAGCTAACTTGTCCACCTATTGCAACATTAAATTAATATAATAGGGCACCATGATATTATTATCCCTATTATACTGATATTTCAAACGAAATATTTTGCGTAATAAAGAAAAAATGGAGTACTCGATGATCAGTGATGACCTACTGTCACAGGACGTTTCGTCATTGTAATATAGGTTAGGATTTGATAACCACGTCACATACTAATTTTCGCACAAAGTATATATTGAAAGTGGTGCGATGTGCGATAGTATGTATAAATTTTATGAAATGTTTTACTGCGGCAGAGCGAACGCCTGTCAAATATTTACCAAAGTAAGAGCTATTTCCGCCATTGGGGAAACGTGTAGGCATATATGGAATAAAGGTATCGCATCCTCGATGTACAAATCCATCCTGCCATCCTTGTTCTTTTGTTTGCCAAGCAGCAGGCCATTTATCGCACAATGCGGATATTTAGCTGCGTGTAAAATAATTTTGCAATACGCGCGGGGTGAAAAGAAAACATTCGTCATCGTCAAGGGTGCACTGTAAACGCAAGCAGACGCGAGGAAACCAGAATGAATCAGTATTGCCAACCCATTGCGATTACCAGGGCGGTGAACATCAAGTCTTTTCTTCCTATATAGTGAATTGACGCTAGGTCAAAAATATCTCAAAATGAGAAAAATAAATAAAATTCATACTTGATATAAAAGATATTTATTAAGATATTATAAATATATTTCAGATATTATTCATAATTTATAATATAAATATGTTTATAATAAGTAGAAATTAAACCGACATGCGACAGGCGAATATTCAATAATAGAAAGAATCCTATTTTAATAAACATATTTAATATCAAATGAATTTATTGTTATAAATATTAACACGTAATAACGTTCTGTGCCAGGCCAATTTATTTATTACTAATATTACTATATTATAAATATTATAATATTAACTTCTGAAAATATATTTTAATTATTGTAATAATTTAATATTAAGTGTTGTAGAAATTGTAAAGTTATTTACGTAAATTTATATTGCAACCTTTTCGCTTCTTCTCGAGAGATAAATTCAATTTTGTACTCCGAAATTGCGGTAAGAGAACAGCTTGCGAAAAAAAAAAAA